TTATCTGAATGCCAGAGGGGAAGGAGGACAGCATGAAGTGAAATCTTTTGCTGTGTTCTGCGTTTTACAAAATCTTTAAGTTACTGAAGAATTCACAATAGGAAGTTTCACTGAGGCTCATTACGAGAGGTTCATGATGCAGGTCTGGCAGGCAGCCAGAGGAGGGAGACACGAAGACTTAGGTTAAGTTATTTTGTTCACGCTTTCCCCTTTTACAGTATTTTATCCAGTGTAGGTTGGGAACTGAAGACAGGCAGGGAAACGAGGTGGGCATGAGAGCAAAGCTGGCGAGGGGATGGGCACTCTATGCCCTGCATGCACAGGCCTGAATATGTATCTGCATATACTACATCAGGCTGCAAACACCCAGTAAAACATGCAATTTGGTGAGGAAGAGGAGTGTGCTCGCAGTCAGAACCACGAAACACATCACTGCATGGCAGGGATGCTCAGGGTTTCACTGGAGGCCAGGCTGCCCTTACCCATCCAAATCTGTCAGCCTCAAAATTAACTTATTGAGGTCAATACTCATAACAGTGGTATTGCAGACTTTTGATTCAGTCTTCCTTTCTGAGAAAGCCCCATAGTCTCTGGCCCACTACAGCTATTACCTGCCAACCTAAAGGATGATGAATGTTATTTATATTGCAGTAATGGCTAACCAGTCAGTGGAGACCAGCGACAGGCTGTGCTATGGACTTTTCAAACACATACTTGAATGAGGACTGCCCACAGATGGCTGAGTGTATGAACTGCTGAGACATTTGAAGATAATGTTCTTGAATGCCTTGGACACGATGACCTCCAACAACTCTGCAGTACTTGTGCTGACTGCACCCACGCAGAGTGCTGTTCTACAGTAAAGATGCTCTTTCATACTAAATTCTTATCAGTTACTGTGACATGCCTTACAATGGCAGAAAACTCATCTACTTCAAAGCAAGCAGCTCCTTGATAAGACCTTTAAGTTCCTTGATTAATAAACATAAAAATATCAATCCACTTCAAACTGAACAAAAAAAAATAGATGAATAAAAAGGTGTTCTAATGAAAACTTTTCCTGATATTTAGCTGCTGTAGTTTTGCTGACCAAGAAATGAACTAAATCAATGAATAAGAACTACTTGAAATGTAGATAAGTAATCCAGCAATAGTAAAACATGAAGGGCCTGATCCTATAAAAGACCTGTAGGACCATTTTAACTCTGAGGTGCAAACTTGCAGCATCAGGCTTCAACTAATTGCAGACAATCGTAAGAACTGAAAACTACACCTTTAAGCTTCCCATTTACAGTGAGCCCACAGTGGGGATAGCTAACACTTCCTGGGAAATACTCCCCCAGGAAACAGCACTGCAAAGATGCAGAGGAAATACATCTAAAACATTCAATGCAGATTTCTTTCTTCATTATTAATCATTCTCGCCGTATCTTAGAAAAACTGCACAGTGACTTCTTTCATATGCACTGAGGTACAGAAACCTGAAATATTAAGTGACATATTCCACCAAGAAATGCCTGTGGAATAGGTGTCAGCCTCTCTATTATCCTTTCTACAATTAATGCTCCAGTATTGAAGTTCTAAATACGTATCAGCAGACATTAGTGTCCATCAGCAACCTCATTAAAATACAACTGCTAAAGTTATACCTTACCTTTAAGTACACTCTTTACGCTTAAAAGCTGCTTCAGACAAGGCTATGTCAGAGCTTCATAGCCAAAAGCCTTAAGATAGCAGAACCCAGTAAAGACACTGAGCAGGGATCAACCTGATATGCTTTTTTCTGTCTTTTCCACCAGGTGAGTGGTCACTCCCAAACCAAAAGGGAGAAATGAAGCACACGGTACAAGACTGCAAGTACTTCCTAGCTGTCTCAACCCTAGAAATCCCCTAAGAGGACTGATGTCTCAACATCTGGGCATTCCTTTCACTGTCAAACACTCCTAGAGCAATGGGATTTGTCAGCAATCTGCTGAGCATATACAGATGACAACTGCACAGCCTGGAGAGCTCAAAGGCGTTTACAGATAGCAGAGGCTTGCGATAGATGTGTTGAACCAGAGCTGAGATCAAGGATATGTGAAAATTAAGCCAAATAGCTGTAAAGTCTTTAGCTGTGGTAGTTAAAACAGACACCACAATATGCAGAATTCAGCCTGGGTGTGCTTTACAATTACACAAATTGTTTAAAAGAGGCTGATCACCCTCCATATGTCATATACCCCACAGAAAAAGCTTTCAGGATGATTCTGGAAGGTGGGTCTTTGCTGTCTAATCTACAACTCCATCATCACTCAAATATATGGAAACGAAGTACTGTTTATAGATAGGTTTTGGGTTATCCCAAGTACAAAATTCATGGACAATGGATTTAAAGCTCTACATCTCACCCTACATCTCACCTAATGGTTCTCTATCCCTCATAGATTTTCAGCCTGTTGCCCCACCATGATCTACGTATCTTCCTAAATCTTTTCAAAGACCTTCTTGACAAAGGGATATGTCCTGCTGGTACAACACAGAGATGCATTATACCAAAAGATTTTTGACTTATTGACAAAAGCTCCAAATGTTTTCCAAAGTCAGCTGTATTTTCAATAATTTGTCCATTTTGTATTTTCAGTATAGATTTACCCACTTACAATAGCATGAACTGCTTGAACTCTCCATCCTCAAATCCAGCCAACGATAGAACCTTGCCTCAAACTTTTTATAGCATCAAATATATTTCTTTTTCCTGACATCCAGTTAAATCTTCATTCAGCTACAGTCAGTACAAAAGTGTAAGATAGTTCTGTGGTGTTCAAGAAAAGCTGGTTAGACTCTGAGGCTATACATTCTTCCGCTAAAAGTTATATTATTGCATCTGTGTCTAAATATTTTTGCTTCCTTTGTCTGCCAAAAGCAACACCTACAACTGCTATAACTGAAAATAGCAAGATAAAAATGTTTTTCATCAATTTGTCACCCTTTTGTATTTAACAACACTAAATGTATGGTCTAGTTCATTAACAGAGTTTTGCCTGTTTGTATTTACATATAACAAGGAAGAAATAAATGTGTTAGAAAAGAATGGAATTGTAAGTACGACAAAAATAGAGTTTGTGGTTTGGTGCAGCGTCTAAAACCACTTTATACATTTGAAAAAGAAAACATCACAGTATCATAGAATCATTTAGGTTGGAAAAAGCACTAAGATCATTGAGCCCAATCGTTAACTCAGCACTGCCAAGTCCACCACTAAACCATGTGTCACATCTACACATCTTTTAAATGCCTCCAGGGATGAGGACTCCACCACTTCCCTGAGCAGCCTGTCCCAGTGCTTGACAAAGCTTTCCCACTTAACTTCCAAGTTGCCTCACTTAATTACTTTTAACGACAGCGGCATGTAAGATGGCCATCATCTATTTTCATGTGATCTTCTTGCTCAGCACCCTCTTTATCAGGTTTTACCCTTATTAGCGGGGTTCTCAGTCCCTATGCTTCATGAAACTGGTCAATAATAAACTTTTTTCACCACTTTTGCATATTGAAGTCATTAGAAAGCTTTAAAATACACTACAGTTCTTTTGCAAGAGAGGAGCTGTCATCACATATATCTCACAAAGACAAAATACAAAAGCAGAAAATGTCATGAATTCTCCATCAAGCAGATGGTTTTGCAGTATCACTGAACAAGTTTATATTAATGATTTTCAGACAGAGAAGGAGATGTCATATTTGAGATGGAGGATCCTACCAAGCCCACTAAGAACCATCAGTAAATTCAACAATAGTGGGATTTTTTCATTAACTCACTGTGACAGCTGTCAAGCTGGGGAAAACTTTTAGTTAATGACAGTACAATTGTTCATTTAAACAAAAACCAGTAATTCAGTCATGCTGGAACAGCTTATGTGCCCAGCTCTGCCATACAATCTGCGCACAGGCATTTATTACACATGCATAGTTGCTCTTTAATTTTCATCTTTGGGGCTACAATGTGATGTGTCCAGAGCCTAAGCAGAGCCCTACAAAAATCAGGCCAGAAGGCAATCTGTGACTGAGTTACAAGCAGCTGCCTGTGTTCTCCCGTGTTGGAAGGGGGAGGTTTGGCACCCCAGGCAGGCAGCCGGGGTAGGACACGCTCACTGCATGTCAAGCTAACCATGTAGTCACCCTCCTTCCTCATGCCCTCAAAATAGGAGGACGCAACTACTGGCAGAGATGTCACCTCACTCTGTGTGCAGTGACAGACTGAAGTACCAAAGATGTTGACTGCATCCTCCCTGGGGACCCTGTGTGCCACAGCTTGACCAGGAGTTCACAAGGAAATCCCAGTACACGTTTTGGTACTATCACAGCATCTTTGCAACCAATAAAGATGCAGAGATCCCATTAACTACTGACACTCAAGGCAGGGTCTGTATCATTAAGGTGAGTTTCTAACATCAAAACCAACTCAGAACAAGAAATAGGGTGCAGCCCTTACCTCCTTGTAGACATCATCATTCCTTCTGAAGTCTCCAGCCCTCCTTGGAAGCACATGGACATGAACATGCTGAAAATGTGAAACAAAATAATGGTGCTTATCAAGCTCATGACTTTCTTGTCTGGATTGTCAGCATTATTCTCAGCACATACAAGTAACCACGCACAGGCTCCCACAGCATTATTTTCAGAGGAAAATACTTTAACCTGTTCCATAACTGCATCTCAACTCTTTGGAGAATATAAAAGATGAAAAACAGAAAAACAGGAGAGAGCAGCTCTGCTGGATTATATGAGCTTCAGCGTGAAATGCCTGGAAGTTTAGGGGCTCTGTGGAATTATTCATAGTTGTCAGCCAGAAACATATTTAGCCACAGCTTTGAAATGACAATGTATGACAATGTACCTCAGAGCTGTGTGTTGTGACTTCAGAACCGACAAGAAGGTGCTGGTGGTGGGATATGGCTGTAGCAGCTGTGGGCAGAGGGCTGGTGTGGACATCCCCAGGCTCAGTGCTGCACTGCACAAGCTGAGGGGCAGAGGAAGCGATGGGACACAGCAGACAGAAAGGCTGTCAGAAAAGGACACTCGCAAAGCTGCACGGCGCAGCTAACATGATGTCTTTAGCTAGGTTAAAAAGACTTCAGTGCTTTGCCTTTCCTCCTAGGAGGTGGTAACCCAAATATAAGAAACTGAAGTCCCCAATGGTATGAGGAGCATGCTGCAGGGACATGGGTGCCAGTGCGCCAAGTGGTCCCAGACCTGAGAGGCACAAGAATTATGAGCTCAGTGTCACTCTGCTGATGGCATGGCCATTGCTTGTGGGGTAGCAAAGCTAAGGACTATGAGATATACTGGGTATGGGAGGGAGGTGAGGGGCGATTTTGTCACAAATGTTGATGAGATGTGAGGAAAAGGAACAAAAACATGGACAAGAAAGGAAATATATGACTTGCCACCTTACTAACTTGACATTGTATTATTACTATTGCTATTTTTTTTTCTGTTAAGAGATGATCACAGCTTCTTCATACCATATAGGAAGGATAACTCAAGATTTTCAAGACTCAAACTCTACCAGGAAATCAAACAAATGCTCAGCTACCTGCTTCTCAGCAGAAAGTTCAGCTGGAACATTGCAAAGTGTTCTTTTATCTTTTCCCAGGTCTCTTTCACTCTCTTCTGAGAAAAAAAAAAAACAGCTGAGAATAATTCTTCAGGAAAAAACCCCTCACAGACAACACCTCATAGAGGAGAGGCAGCAAATGACCTGAGTGACAGCTCACATTTATGCATCTCCAGATCATTTTAGACGGTGTCTAAATCCTTCAGGAAAAAGAAGACTGCACCAGAAACAGCACCAAATGCTTTACAGAGAATTCAGACAGCTTTTACCTGCCTCAGCTTGATGAGGCAGAAATCAGATGGAATTCATGCCCCTCACTGTGATGTTCTCAAAACATGGTGCAAGTCTATAATGAAATCCCAAATAAATAGAAGAAACTCTGAGGTTATTTGTAAGAAAATTCAAGCACGCCTTTATTGTGTTAACTTCAGTCCATAAAAACATTCACTCAGTGAAGAAAATGAAATCACAAGGATGTTTCAGCTAATGAAATTTTCCAAATACCACTCCTTTTTCTCAGCTTACCCTAGAGAAACCGAAGATGCAGTTGCTTATTCTTGTCATCAGCCACAGCTTTCAGTGTGTTCAGCCTAGAGATGAGGATGGTTCTTGAGGGTCAAAAACTGTGTTTTTGAGTAATACATCAGTGATAGTGTTCTGATAGTGTATTATACTAATATATCATGAGAGCGCAAGTGCTCTTGTGATGTATTGGTGCAATGTATCATCTGAACCTCACTGCTCTCATGATGTATTGCTCAAAATCACACGGCAAGTTTAAAGATGGTCTTCAGTAGCCCCAGGCCTGAAATTTTGCTTTTGGACAAAGACTGGCTTTCAAGAAAAGTAAAAATGAAGATGAAAGTTTGCAGCAGTGCTGCAAAGCTCCAGCACTGTCACACCTCTGATTTGCCTTAGATTCTGAATGTATCCCTAGAAATAGAGACTAATCTGCCAGTCAGTTTCTTTCTTTTCTGCTACAAGGAGTAACAGCTTTGCTACAAATACCAATTGTCAGGAATTTCTCTTGATGATACATACACAGCCTAATACCAGCTATCAACAACCATATCCCCCAAAAGTTCAGCTGCCTTTCAGAGTCATTTTTATCTCTGTGGCAGAATGTTCCAGGATGCACACAGAAGATGATCTGTATACCCACAACAAGCAATTTGGAGTACCAGAAAGCATGCAGGACTGTAGTCCAAAGCTCGGTGCAGAGATACTGCACTGCAGATGCACAGACCAGCACAGCAGGTAATGAATGAGACTAATGTGATCTTCTACCCAAAACAGGCTCTTTGTGATCAGCATGAAAAAAATAAGAAAAAGTGTTTATGACAGCGTATGGGCCACTTGGCATCAGTGGAGATGTTCTCAGGGGTTAGTCACCTTTACTACAAGCATTATGTTCCTACACAACGCCAGGCTTCATAGCAAAATCCATCAACTGTATCAGAAAACAAATTAGTATTTCTAAGGTTTGAGGTAACTACAATCAATTTAAAAGACATGAACTTGTCCCAGACATCCCAATTTCTTTTAAATTCCATGCACGGAACATAAACAAACATATGGATTCTCCTTACTGTTTGTGTAACAGAAATGAACAGGATCAGCAGTGGTGTCTCAAGTAGTTTCCTTCTCTTCAGCTTTACCAAGAAAACACAGGGAAATACAAGCAGCACAGAGTAGTGGCTATCACCTAGTGAGAAACACTGAACAGGTGATTTCACACGTTCTCTAATCTGCCTTTCATCTTGTGGCCTTTCTAACTCAGGAAGCCTGGTATTCTGATTCATTCGGAGTTCTTTAATTGATCATTTTTGCTCCTTAGCACTATCTGTTTTCATTAAAGCTCAGTCCACCAAAGCACTTAAGTACCAGCTTGATTCCCAACCTGTGAACTGGTTCAGTGGGAGTATTTGCACCCCAGATATTATCTATATGTCCCTTTGTTTTGGATCTGCTGCTGGCTACAGGGAGGTGTCTCCCCAACTGGTGGTAGCAGAAATAACTTCAAGGTGCCCACAAATTCAAGTCACTTCTTTCCAGTTTGTTTTCCAGGCAAAACAAAAACCTGCACGTCCAAAAAAGACATTTGCAGTTGACTAAAATGTGTCAGTAGATACAAACAAAACATTTGGCTCCATTTTTTTTCTAAACCAAACAAACAGATTTAGGCAAATCCCCTCAAAACACTGCTTGGAGACAGAAAGTCCAAACACTGTGTATACAAAATGTCAAAATAAAGCATTTCAACTTGTCTCCCCAGTTACTGTGGGTATCCTCATAGCTGGTGGGTGGCAGACAGCCCCATCACATTCCAGCAGGCTGCATTCAATCACTGGTGATGGTATTTTGTTTTTTCCCTGAAATAAAATTGCTTTCCCCTCATTTTGCATTATTTTGATTAATAAGCAAGAAAAGCAACATAGAACAGCCGAGACATTTACATTAATGGAAGGATCAATATCCCCCACATGAGGGTAGGAAAAATGCAAACACACGCCTGTGTTGCTTGGGGTGTTAGGTGCCATTTCCTCCTCTTGTCAGACACTGCTGGAGAAAGATGTGCGTGACCACAGGAAATGGGCACACTTGGTATGACAACACCAGGACACAGCAATATGCCCCCAGGTGAGGGATACACAAAGAGCATAGAATCATAAAATGATTTGGGTTGGGAGGAAACTCAAAGCTCATCCAGTTCCAACCACTCCCATGGGCATAGACACCTTCCGCTAGAGCAGGTTGGCCAAAGTCCCATCCAACCTGAGTGCCACTATTTGCTTCTGATAGCTGAATTTTACAGGACTTTCAAACCCAAAATTATGTGAGTAACAGTTTTCTAGGGCTTGGTCTGTGGCTTCCTCTGTTCTACCACATTATAAATGAAATCAGTTTGAGAAGCTCCTAACGGTGAGAGTTATTAAGTGATGCAAAATCAGTCTGAAGAGAAGCTTTTTCAAGACCTTTGTACCCAGAATGGCAAGAGGATTAGAAAATGTACTGCAAGGAACAGATATGTAGTGCATGGGGAAACCATGTGATATCTCTGACCCCCCCATCACAGTGAGAGGATCCTCCACTCAAGCCCTGTGGCATTCCCAGCATGACTGTGGAAGCATTGTGGCATTCATAGTATTATACAACTAAATTGTGGGATTAGACATCTAAAATTGATTTCTAGTGAACGAGGGCTGCAAAACATTCACTAAAGTCTCAGCCAAACAACCTAGAGCCTGTTTTGTTGGAAAAACACCCACTCAGGTCAGGTGAGTTCTGCTTCAGCACTCAAGGCCATGCAGGAAGCAATGTTCTTAGTTATGGCGTTTTTTATATACTGAATTATGGTCAAATAACCAATGTGTCACCACTAGGCTGGATGTAAAGCAAAAATACTAGGCAAAAATAGACACTGAAAGAGATTTGCCTGGTAGAACAGAATAGTGAAGAGCAGATGACCCTGCCACACACCGCTGGGGAGGACATGGACGTTGCCTGCAATAATTCATGAACATTATGTTGTGTTCACTCAGCTGCTGTGTTGGTTAGCAGAGCAACAAAGCTCAGCTTCCAACAGAAAAGGAGATAATAGCCTGTACATGAGCTCCTCAGCATGCAACCAGGGTCTATTAGCAGTAAATGTTACTATAGGGTGAATACATACAAACTAGCAACGGGTCACAGAACCTTGAGGACGGGGGGGCTGCCAAAAAGTTGGCAGAGGAAGAGCTGTTCCCCCCACACCTGCACAAGCAGTACATGGCTGAACTGTGCCTTCATGCAGCGAAACCAGATGCCTTTCAGCAGCTTAATCCTTTCCCTCCTTACTTTTCATCCTTTCTACAGAGATAAAGCTTTGCAGTCGTGGGCTTCCACTGTCTCATGGTGCAGTAGCATCAGGAAAGGCCATGATGCAAGGAGGGACATCAGGGCCA